AAGTAGTTCAGACTATTCCTGAAAAGCGCTAATTAATTTGCTGTACTATATGGAGTCGTTATCTTCGTAGTGTTTTCAGACACTCCATCCAACTGAGAACAAATAATTTCTATAGAACGTTGAACTAATCAACTTCGACTGAGGTAATGCAAATAATTGATGAATGAGATATAAAAAAAAAACTGTTTTGGTGCCGTTCCCAACACTTACATAGGCATCTTCATTTGAGCTTTTCTATAATACATATTAATGGTGTCAAATTCCAGATGAGTTATTTTTGAAATTTTGGTTGTCCTTACAGCCAACTGATTCCTTTCAATCAATATATTAGCCTAGACAATCATTAATAGTTCGCTGAAATTCTCATTTTGCACTTTAAGACGCTGAATAATTACGTTGAACATCCTTAAGAGGATCAGATATTTATGAAATTGCGTTTAGAGACAGCCATTAACCTTTGGACTGTCTTGGCGGATGGAAGGTGGGGCTTTGTGACCTCATTAAGGCTAGGTAGTGATCAAAGAGTACGCGTGCGGGAGAGACGCAGAGTTCGTCGCGGGCGCGAGCGGCCTTAATTGGGTTACCTAGTTTCTCCTTCCAGCCGCCAAGCAAGTTGAATCAAAGATTATATTATATTGTCCCTAAACTTACACACTTGATGTGTAACCTGCACACCAAAGTTCGTACTTTAGTTGTGCTTTGGACACTTTACAACGACAGATACGAGGCTATCTTAGCATTAAGATTACTGTATGTCCTTAACCATGCTCACACTTAAACTTTAATTAAACTGACGTGGCGGCTGGAAGGCGTGGCTTTGTGACCTAATTAAGGCCGCTCGCGCACGCAACGAGTCTGCGTCTCTGCGCACGTGCTCTCTGATCATTACCTAGCCTCAATTAGGTTACGAAGCCCTGCTTTCCAACCGCCAAGCTTGTTGCTCTGAAAGTTACGTAGTGTTTTACAGAAAAGCTCAACACACCTTTACACTTTTCTTCGGTCAAAATCCTTTTGCAGTCGTCCTAGAACTAAGTTTGACCATAAAAGTGCATAAGACTATCTGCTTTCCTATACGACTTAAGTAGTTCGTCTTATGTCCTTGCCCAGCATTTAGGCCTGATTACACTCACTTAATCGCCATTCTTGCTCGTTCCTACGGCCCAATCTTACTGTTTTCGACAGAAGTGCTTTCAGTGACATCAAAGGGAAATTGCAATTGTATTGCCTTATTTGTGCTTGGACATCTTCCAAATTTTGTTCACATGGAAGGTTTTTTTTGTTTTTACGAACTGAAAATTCTGTATCCTTTCTATTTCGTCTTCGTCTTCGTAAAGGTTCTTTACATTAACTTTGTAAAATTCCCATTTGCAATATTGCATCGTCATAACTTTTCCTACAAATTTCAAAAACGATATTTTTTGCGATCCCTGAGAAAATACAGGTTGAGAGTAAGAAAATAAAGGTTCATCTTGAAATATTTCATAGCCGAATTTTTATATTTTACACTTGACCAGAGCTCAGATGTTCTTTTTGATCACTTAGAGTTTTCTGTTCCTTTTCTTCACCAATTACTATTCCTAGAGCGCTTATTTGAGAAAAAAAAACTTGGCATACAGTGTCACAAAACTTTTTCAAATTTCGTGCGACACTGATAAGATTTTGATTTTTTGTTATACTCCATTAGTGAATTTTGTTCTTATGTTCAAAGTCAATTTCTTGTTTTGAGGTTTTCTGCCCGTTTCCTCAATAACGTCTTCTCATGAAAATTTCGTTGAATTTCTACAAGAGTAACTTTCCATGAAAATGATTTTACAGCAAATTTTCGTAGCAAAAAATGTTTTATCGTCATCAAAGCACAGTTTGTCATGCGTATGACATCACTATCACCGAAACCCAAGAAAACTGCATCGCCTTGTGATCCTAGCCCAGTGGGCGTTCCTGCCATTTGAATTTACGTTTTTCGTGCACTTGTGCGGTAGTGGTGTATGATCTGCAGTTACACCATCTATTTATTTGGCTAGATTCTGGTTTGCTATAGGAACGCTATAATTACTGTGGTTTTTGAAGAAAAACTATTGGGTAGCTTAATCTGTGTTACAGCTTTGTCGAGTATACATCCATGTACATTTTGAATCAGTGGGACTGGCGCGGATGGAAGGCGACCGCTCGCGCCCGCGACGCAGTCTGCGTCTCTCTCATGAGCGTGCTCTATGACCTTCCCTAACCTTGATTAGGTCTCGAAGCCCCGTCTTCCAGCCGTCCATCCCGTTGAGTCAAAGGGTAGTTCAGTCTTCAGCTTTCATTCAAAGCCGTTCTCGTGATTTAGTTTCCAAGTGGCTAGCTCAGATGGTTTGCGTAAAGGATCTAATTTCAATATTATAATCATATGTAATTATTAGTACTCTGACTGAGACGAGGAAGGAGAGAAGGGAAGGGGAGTGGGGGGGGGGGGTAAAAAGCAGAAAAGAGCTTCCATAGTGATTTTTGAAGTCTGTATGAGTGTCTACTATCCTTTTTCCATCACTATTCATAAACTCACCCACTCGAAATTATGGCAGGCTCACAATTAGCGGTTAAGTGCCACGCCCATCATTAGGCAACTCTCCCCCCCCCCCCCTCCCGCAGTAGTAGTTCTAGGATTTCTGTTTTGAAGGAGGAGACAGAAACGATTTTTGAATGAAAATATGTGTAGTCACGCCTCCGAAATTTTTCTGGGATGCTCCCAAAATTTTTGGCTGGCTCGTTTTCACGAGATTTGCTAAAAACGACGTGGCGGCAGAAGCGATTACGAAAGAAAAATTTTTGTAACAACTCAGAAAACAAGAAATAAGCACTTTCAATTATTTACAAGTATAGAAGTGCATTTGCAAGTCATCTGCCATTCTAGCCAAACAAGGTCTGCTTCTTTCTTCCTACATTTCTCATTGAATGTCTTTTGTTTCAATTCTCTCCCTCTCTCCCCCCCCCTCCTCCCGTTCCCCTCTCACACCTCCTTCCTCCATTACGGCCCAATTTTGTAGTTGCATTTAAATTCTTCATTATCTAGTGTTGTATATATTCTTTTATTATTTATTGTTGACTTAACCAGATTGGCGGCTGGGAGGGGACCGCTCACGTCCGCGACGCGATCTGCGTCTCTCTCGCGAATGTGCTCTCTGATCATTCTCTAATCTTAATTAAGCACAAAGAGCCGCCTTCCAGCCGCCATCAGTTGAGTCAAAGGATAATGTAGTTAGAGTTGCTCTCCTTGACCATTACGCATTATCGACATAGAAGATCAAAGGCTGTTTACTTTCACTCATGTGTCGCTAGGCAGCAAATTCACTAATGGCATTTCTTAGCTGATTTTCCACGTCATTATCATATGATTCTAAACGGCTTGGCTGTTCGCCGTATCTGCGATTAAACATAATAGAAAACTATAGCAATAGCATTGATTCATGTGAGATTCCAAGTTGGAGTTCTACGTTGCAAAACCTTTTTGCGTTTCGTCTGCCAACTCTTACTCATCAAAGTCTGACCGAATTGCCGAGTTTAGCTGGTTTATTCCCTTGAAAATTCTAAAATCTGAGTCACCTTTATGGTTGCCCTTCCATGTTTTGTATCTAACTATTTCAATGCGTCTTTTGAAAATGTCCACGTCATACCTTTTTTGTAATTTGAGCGACTACGCAAGCGCATTTGTTAAAAGTCCTTATAAGGAAGCGTGACATCATACATTTCTGGCAACCTTCAATTTGTCTAGTCACAATCTACTTGCTTCGCTTCTCTTCTCTTCCTCTTATCCCTCCCCCCTATTTCCGGCCATTTTAGACCTAACTGCTTCAGCGTGGGATGCGGCAAAAGATTTATTTCCATTTTTCTTCTGGAATGCTGTAACACCTCCCTTCCCACCATCACTGCAATCCACCATTTTCTACATACGCTCTAAAAACTTTCAAGGCTTTGGTTTCTGTTTATCGATCGATATATATGTCCCCTCCACCTCCATTCCGGAAAAGTTGATTTGCGATTAGAATATGTTAATTATTATTAATTACTAGATGGCAAACCCGGCTCCGCCCGGGACCAAACTTTGCACACATACACTTCGGGGCAAGGAGCGTGTCATAGGCTACTTTTCGTTATCGATCGATATCGATTTTATCGATTTTTTGCAAAATTTGAGCTAGGGGGTTGGGATTTTGAACAGGGGGGTAATCGAGCATGCTGATCAACCCCTCCGGGGTATATGTATATGTGTATATGTGGGCCAAGTTTGGTCCAAATCGGTTCAGAAATAAAAATTTCTATTCCGCACATACTTACAGACAGACATACATACAGACAGACATTCAGCTTTATATATAATATTTAAGAATTAATTATCATCAATCAATTATTATTGTTTGATTATTTGAGATCTTCTATAATAATTATTATTATATTTCTTTTTTTTTGATTATGATTATTATTGTTATGATTATTATCATTTTTGTAATTATTCATCTGGAAATAATCGGAGTAGTTTGATTAATTCAAAAATAAAGAGAGTGAGGATTTCTCTCCAGATTTCAGAGATAGCCCCTATGAACAAATCATTTGGATAATACCGCAAACTTCTTCTCCCTTTCCTTCCCCAGAAGTCAAAAGATTTTCTCCCCTGCTGAATAGGTATAATTTTATTGTAAGAAGCAAAAAAAATTAGACTAGCTTATTTTTTATCTAGCTTGAACAAATTGCTCAAATATTATATTCTCTTCTAGTTATCAAACATGACAATTAGAATCGCATTTCTTTCCCAATCTACAACTTAACTACTCATTCAAAACTTTTTTGAGCAATAAATTGGGAACTTAAATGACTAAACTAAGCGCTCAAGTATTTTTCTTTACATTCCACGTGGTTTGCGCCACCACATTTCTTATAGTGTTCCTTGTACTCACTTCTCCTCTGTTTCCTCCGCTCCTTTGAAAAACTTTTTTTCAAAACTGTAAAAAATGAAAAAACTAATTATAGAGAAAAACCATGTCTTCCTCATCGTGTGTAGAGAAACTCGTCCCATCGTCATGCGTCTGTCCGCTTCCATGTTCGTGCAGCCGCGCAAACGTCATTGCTGATCTACTTGGCGTATCTCCAATGTATCATCAAGAAGAGTAAGTTTATTTTTTCATTTTTTCATTAAATATTATCATAAAAAATATGAATTTTGTTTTAAATAATAAAGATTATGACTCAAAATGGTTCATTTTGATTAATCTAAGGTCTACATCGAAATGAAAGCTCTCATCTTCAACAGCATTTGTAATTAGTTCATGTATCATCAGTTTTCATTAAAAACAATTCATTGTGCGTTTTTTTTCTGAGAAAATGATAAGCTCAAAGGCAAAATAACCTTTGCTCTGTATTTTTGCTACGTATCATTGTAGTCACCTCTTCCATAAACAGCGATAAAACCACGCTTGTAGCTTCTGAGATAAGAGTCAATTTGACAGGATAACTGAAGTAATCTTTGATTTAATTGGCTTGGCTTCAGCAAGGCGATGCTTTGTGACCTAATTAAGGCCGCTCGTGCCTGCGACGCACTCTGCGTCTCTCTCGCACGAGTGCTCCTTGATCATTACCTGCCTTGATTGGGTCACGAAGCCCCGCCTTCCCGAAGTCAATCCAGTTGAATTGAATGGTACTTTCTGGTATAAAATTTGCTGTTTCTGCTATACAATAGTTTTTGAAGAAAGAATGAGGACCGATTTTACAGAAACTTCTTTCTGAATGGCTATTTGAAAAAGGTGATCCAATTTGGCCGCTTATTCAATGCTGCATTTACAATGCTCGTGTGCTGGCGCCGTCCCAGTGCTTTACCAGCGCCATGCTGGAACGACGCGGATGTAGTACGCATTGATTGATCGGCACTACTGCACAGCCCTGGCACAGCGTTGGCACAGCCCTGGCACAGCGTTGGCACAGCACTGGAACGGTGGTGGCACGGCATTAAAACGATGCTGGTACGCTTCTCGCACCTCGAGCATAAAATATCACCTGTGTTTAGTTTTTCTGAGTATCTGTCTTGATAGAGCTACATTTGGGCAGAGTAAATTAAAGAATTTTCATGTTAACCCAAACAGATCCTTGAGAAAAAATGCAAACAGGAAAAAATCCTTAATTTTCCAAATGTTCTAGAAATTAACCTTGGAAATCTTTAACGTATGATAGACATATCGGCAAATTTGTTGCACACTCTTTCTATTTTTATGAGTTATTGTCCTTTGACACTATTATGAGAGAAGTAATCGAATTTTGATGGCTTTTGCGAATTGTAGATAAAAGGGCATGGGCTTTACGTGAGTGAAAACGCTGGCCTGTTTACATCAAATATCTCTCGGTTCATAGGTGATCAATCATCAATTTCCATGAAAGGCTTTCTTCCAAAATATCATCGCAGCTGCCCTTTAAATCACGGAATAACACAAGTTTCTGATGAATGAAATTCACATTAACATTGCTAAATATTTTGTCCGGGTGGTAACCGTGTTCTGTCGAAAAAACGCTAGCATTTGGAAAGTGGTCAACTGTTCTTGATGCACAAGTTGAAGCATGTGGCAACGGTACCATTTGACCGAAACATTTTGGAACTATTCAGTTTTGTTTAGCCTGTTCAAGATGATCATAATGTTATGCTGGTTTCACCTATTATTAAATCTTGAAGCTATATGACATCCACATCAACAACATTATAGTGCTCATCATTCATTTTTTTCAGTATTAGATATTCTCAATTTTCCAATGAAAAATCAAAGTCAGACAAGTAAATTGCTCACAAACATGTAATGTGATGTAATCATAAAGCAATTACTTTTTTGATGTTAGGAAATCATGCGCCAGATGTTTGTTGCCATTTCACTTATTCCGAGTTTCGACATAATTTCCGTAAGTATGAAAAAAAATTTAGTTTACTAGCGTGTAGTGGACAAAAAGTTTTGAATTGCTGCGGAATCCTATAACGTGAAGGCGATAAAATGTCCTCAAAAGCAGAGCTGGTGAATTTTTTCTGGAAAGCAATCAGAGTGGTTACATTCTATTCTTGAAAGTTCACCATTCATTTATGCGCAAACGATGTGATTTCTGCTAGACCGTTTTCGCTATTTCTTCAAATTGCGTTGATGCATAATTCTTGCACCAATTTTTTTTGAAATGCTGTTATTTTCTCCCGCTTCAATGCATCTGTTCAATAAATAATTAAAAGAGAAAATCTTGTGCTTCTAGAATGTGCTTGACTACTTCAATGCATCTATTCAATAAATAATTAAAAGAGAAAATCCCTCAAGGCGGCAACGATATGAGCCGATCAAGAGAAACTCAAAAAGCGTATTTCATTATTGGTTGTTACAATTGCTAAAACGTCAACTGAAATTTGAATTTATTTTTGTTCCTGGTTTGAAACTTACTCATTTTGACTAAGAGAAGTTGGTAGTGGTTAGATGTCTCTAACAAGGATAAGGATAGTTACGAATTTCAAATTTTTAAATCTATTGATTTTGTTTCATATTGATACTCTTAAATGCACTATAAAGTACTGCTTTTGATATACATAACAATGAACATATTTTGCAAATTGATAAGTTTGTCTGTCTTTTTCAAATAATTTTTTCTACTTTTTGGTGCAAGAATTATGCATCAACCTAATAGAAGGTCGATTTGCATTAGAATTAAGTCGTATGAATTTTTGCATGTCATGTGGAAAATATAGAGGAACTAGCTGGCTTACCCGGCTCCGCCGTATCCGGACCAAACTTGGCACACATACACTTCGGGCCCCGGCGGGTGTCACAGTCCACTTTTCGTTACCGATCGATGTCGATTTTACCGATTTTTATCGTTTTTTTTTGCAGAGTTCACCTACAGGGCTAGGAGTTGGCACAGGGGGAAGGGGGGAAGTAAGCATGGGGATTACGAACACAATATTAGTTTTCAGGATCGTCCATTACTTTTATCGATTTTATCGATTTTTTTGTAAAGTTTGACCTGCGGGGCTGGGAGTTTGCACAGGGGGTAATCGAGCATGCAGATTACGAATACAATATTAGTTTTCAAGATCGTCCATTACTTTTATCGATTTTATCGATTTTTTTGTAAAGTTTGACCTGCGGGGCTGGGAGTTTGCACAGGGGGTAATCGAGCATGCAGATTACGAATACAATATTAGTTTTCAAGATCGTCCATTACTTTTATCGATTTTATCGATTTTTTGAAAATTTGAGCTAGGGGCTGGAATTTGGCACAGGGGCGTAATCGAGCATGCTGATCACCCCCCTTGGGGATGATCAGCATGCTCGATTACCCCCCTGTGCCAACTCCCAGCCCCCTAGCTCAAACTTTGCAAAAAAATCGATAAAATCGATAAAAGTAATGGACGATCTTGAAAACTAATATTGTGTTCGGAATCCCCATGCTCGATTACCCCCCTGTGCCAACTCCCAGCCCCGTAGGTGAACTCAGCAAAAAAATCGATAAAAATCGATAAAATCGATATCGATCGATGACGAAAAGTAGCCTGTGACACCCGCCGGGGCCCGTAGTGTATGTGTGCCATGGTCCGGATCGGTTCAGAAATGGAATTTTCTATTCAGAACATACGTACAGACATACAGACATACAGACATACAGACAGACAGACAGACAGACAGACAAACAGACATTCAGCTTTATATATAAGATTAATAAATATGTTTTTCCAATACCACTCATGAATGAAGTAACGTGTTTGGATTCTAAGAATTTTGTTCACTATGCCCTAATCAGGGGATTTAAAGTGATGCTCATACGATCGGAACACTGGGTTCAGTAATCCATCTTAAGTGCCCAAAATGAGTTCAATATTTCATTTTGAAAAGAATCAATTTGTCTCATTCAAATTATCTTTACAACATTTGGAATCTGATTACTTATAGTACCGCTCGTTGGAACTCGGCCGCTTGCATCTATCAAGCTATGAATGATCCTGGATCAAAATCACTTCTTCAACAACCAACCGGAGATCGTAAAGTTAGAAGCGGTGAGTAGCGACATGGTCAACGAAAGAATTCGTAAGCAACAGTAAAAAACCACTTGAATACCTCATTAGTAACACTTTGAATAGAAAGAGAAAACGGCCTTTTTTGCACCGTTACCGCAAGGCACAGGTCACCATAACCTTGCGAGGGAAAGAAGTGCCATCTGAGCTTGCTTTATGTGAAGCTCTACCGGAGGCACTTCTTATTATTCCAAGCAGTAGAATGCAATGTCCCTATCAAGGTGTGCGATTATTTGATTCAACCGGATTGGCGGCCGAAGGCGGCGCTTTGTGACCTAATTAAGGCAGTGGCTCGGCAGAACGACAACTTTGGGATATGCGTCATTCTCGGTTCCCTTGGACGAGCTATGTTCAACACTGTGCTTTGCAGCCTTAAAAGATATCAATAACCAGCTTTTCCAGACGTGAAATCCGCTATTTGAGGCAGATCGCGTATCGGGTGTAGGCCCTTCTGAACTCGCTCTAATCCCGATGGCTGCGATAGGTCAGTGCGCCTCCGAGGTCACGTCTTAATTCGCTGCTTCGATAAGGCGAGCGGTTGACCTAAGCAGGTGCGCTGCGGAAACGGACGAGTTCCCCAGTAATGACCTCCCTCCATCGGACCCTTGATAGAGATGTCGTAGACTCATGATTCAGCCGAATGCTGCTATTCTGCTGTTTTACCCAACAGACTCGCTGCTATTTACTAAACTGACGCGCTTCCAATCAAATCTGTGGGATGTGTTTGCTTCGACTAAAGTACTCTATTTTTGGTTGAGTAAGGTGGGTGCTGGTAACTCTTTTTGCACCATGTGTGCAATCCTTGCTGCATCGTGTATCGTCACATTCATTCGTGTGTGTGTGAATTAAACGAAGCCTGCAGTGAAAACACACTTTTTGGTTTGATCATTGCTAATGACCCGATACTCAAGATTCTTGTTAATGCAGTTTGTCGCCAACACTTTTCTGCGCCCATTATAGCGGCTGCATAATTATATTCGTGTAAACCATACAAATATTTATCAGTTTTGAATCTAGTTCTGAGCAAGGAAAGTAGCGGTTTCGGTGACACTGTTTCGTGACTGTAAAGAGCTGAGAAGTTGATCTACAAGCGGTGGCCTATGAACATTCAAAATTTCAGGCACAACCCCAAAAACTAGCGAGAAAGGAGCAGCGTTTGCGCAAGAAACTAGATGCTACCAAACAAATGTCTTGGTATTAAGCGAAAGTCGCTTAGAGCAAAAACTACAAATCATTAGGTATCGTGCAGAGTTCAAAGCAAACCATCTGTTGTACTTTGAATTGTGGGTCGGGCCGCGTGTGCTTTCCTCTCGACGCATCATGCAGTTCACAACGTTCAAACATGTATTAATGCATGAAGCAGAAAGGATGCATACAAACAAAATGTGGCAGTGAAAGTACTCAAAATGAGATGAGAAACCTTTATGTTATTACTCAAAAATTTAAAACAAGTTTCTAACAACAAGCCTGACTGATACGATCAGGATAATGTTAGGCCGTAGAATAGCAAAATGGAGCGAATAACAGCATTACGAAGTGGGACTGGGTAAGGTGGGGATTACTACTGCGTTCAGATCTGAAAGCTGGAAAGGGAAACCTCGAGGTGCGCTGAAGATTTTCGAAAATAAAGCGTTCTGAAGAAGACTCGTCCGCAATGGCCGCAACGCAGGCGCCCGCGTCCCACTTGCGGGGTTATTGTAGTAGACGGTGGGTTCAGAAGGGCCGTCTTCCCGCGTATCTGCCCTTTAGCGCGCGATTAGCTCGTGAGTAGAGATATTGTACCCACCGTACCCACGAGCCAATCGCGCTCTAAAAGGCAGGCATACGCCTCCCGCCCAAATATCACTTTTCACGTCTGGAAAGCGAGTAGTTGGTAACTTTTGAAGCTGCAAAGTACAAAGTACAAAGCTTTTGAAGCTGCAAAGTAGTCTTTGACCTAGCTCATCCAGGAGAACCGAGAACGATGAATACCCAAAGTTGTCATTTTGTCGAGCTGCTGCCTTTGAGGCCGCTCGCTCCAGCGACGCAGTTGGGATTCCATAAATGCTTTATGACAAGCGTCTCTCTCGCGCTCATGCTTCCTGATTATTCTCTAGCCCCTTAACTAGGTCACAACGCCCCGCCTTTCAGCTGTCAACCCAGTTAAATCAAAAGATACATCGCTTAAAAATGGACCAATTTTTTTGCCAGTTTGAAACTCAGGAAAAACTCTCTTCTAGTTGCCTTCCCTGATGCCGTCACAGAATGCCATGAGTCTTATAACTTTTATAAAAACAGATATGATACTCTGACCTATCAAAATTTAAGATAATGTAGTGAATTTTTTTCCAATGGAATGAATTCCGACCTCGGTTTTACTTTTTCTGCCAAACACTGTCTCTTTATTGCGGTGGAACACAGCGATTCCATAAGTGCTTAATGACAGCTATCTCTGCAAATGTTCTTCAGCTAAAAAAGGCATATAGGACAATCCTATTTGCTAAATTACTTGGATGGAACAATCAATAACTAGCTAGTAACTGTACATGGGGAGGGGGGGGGGTGGAAGGAGGTCAAAGGTTCGTTGAAAACATTAGCTATGCAGCGAATTTTTTCAGCATATCACTCACCGGAACGTGACTCGAATCATCGCACTCATCTTGGTATAGGAGGAAGTATGCACAATCTTACGTAAGTTTACTTGACATTCTTATCTCGCCAAACTTTTCTACAATTCTTGCTCTACACTGAATGATTATTTGTAAAATCGGAGTCAGATAATAGTACCAACATCAGCGTTCCTATCTTGCAAAAGAGTGAAAATTGTAGTTTGTGTAGAAATTTTACATTTGATTTATTTGAGCTTTGAGATAAAGTGCAAAGTGCGCATTTTTTGCGACGGCATTTTGCACATCAACAATAAATCAGGAGCCGTGACGTGATTGGAATGAGACATTTTTCTCTGCTGCAGTTGCAGAATAAAACTTTCCGGCTAATGGATTCTCAAATGCATTAGGCTTTGCTGAGCACTTTATGAGCTATTTTGTTGATCGAAAAGTTGTCTCCGACATTGTGATATGGCATCGAGAATCAATCAGCCTGAACGATTAGATGCGTTGATGATTGTATAGCATTACTCATGTGAACAACGACATGCAATCGCTTTTTTCAGAGCATATGAAATGTGCATGAAGTCTGCGTACTCGCGATTTTTGCTCCCCGTTGACGTACGTGTAAACGTCTGAGAGTTCCCGCGCCATTATAAATTGATATTGTGTGAAAAAGAATAGATCCAGAGGATGTGGGATGGAAAGGAATGATAGATGCGGAGGAGGGTCAAAAAACTGAGTTATATGATTTTACTAGCTGGCATACCCGGCTCCGCCCGGCATCACATACACTTCGGTAAAAAAACGAAGTTATATTCCCCAAGAAGAGAAAACAACTTTGGCTTTTTAATTGTGGTTGTCCTCAACAGAGGCAACCGATGGTTATCCTCAACAGAGGCTACCGATGGTTATCTCAACAGAGGCAACCGATGGTTGTCCTCAACAGAGGCAACCGATGGTTGGTACGATGGTTGTCCTCAAGAGAGGCAACCGATGGTTGTACCGATGGTTGTCCTCAACGGAGGCAACCGATGGTTGTACCTATGGTTGTCCTCAAGAGAGGCAACCGATGGTTGTACCGATGGTTGTTCAACGGAGGCAACCGATGGTTGGTACGATGGTTGTCCTCAACAGAGGCAACCAATGGTTGTACCGATGGTTGTCCTCAAGAGAGGCAACCGATGGTTGTACCGATGGTTGTTCAACGGAGGCAACCGATGGTTGGTACGATGGTTGTCCTCAACAGAGGCAACCGATGGTTGTACCGATGGTTGTCCTCAAGAGAGGCAACCGATGGTTGTACCGATGGTTGTCCTCAACAGAGGCAACCGATGGTTGTACCGATGGTTGTCCTCCAAGTGAGGCAACCGATAGCTGTCCTCGATAGACATCCGATGGTTGTCCTCCGAGTGAGGCAACCGATGGTTGTCCTCAACAGAGGCAACCGATGGTTGTACCGATGGTTGTTCTCAAGAGAGGCAACCGATGGTTGTACCGATGGTTGTCCTCAAGAGAGGCAACCGATGGTTGTACCGATGGTTGTCCTCAACGGAGGCAACCGATGGTTGTACCTATGGTTGTCCTCAAGAGAGGCAACCGATGGTTGTACCGATGGTTGTTCAACGGAGGCAACCGATGGTTGGTACGATGGTTGTCCTCAACAGAGGCAACCAATGGTTGTACCGATGGTTGTCCTCAAGAGAGGCAACCGATGGTTGTACCGATGGTTGTTCAACGGAGGCAACCGATGGTTGGTACGATGGTTGTCCTCAACAGAGGCAACCGATGGTTGTACCGATGGTTGTCCTCAAGAGAGGCAACCGATGGTTGTACCGATGGTTGTTCAACGGAGGCAACCGATGGTTGTACCGATGGTTGTCCTCAACAGAGGCAACCGATGGTTGTACCGATGGTTGTCCTCCAAGTGAGGCAACCGATGGCTGTCCTCGATAGACATCCGATGGTTGTCCTCCGAGTGAGGCAACCGATGGTTGTCCTCAACAGAGGCAACCGATGGTTGTACCGATGGTTGTTCTCAAGAGAGGCAACCGATGGTTGTACCGATGGTTGTCTGTCCTCAACAGAGGCAACCGATGGTTGTACCGATGGTTGTCCTCCAAGTGAGGCAACCGATGGCTGTCCTCGATAGACATCCGATGGTTGTCCTCCGAGTGAGGCAACCGATGGTTGTCCTCAACAGAGGCAACCGATGGTTGTCCTCAACAGAGGCAACCGATGGTTGTACCGATGGTTGTCCTCAACGGAGGCAACCGATGGTTGCACCGATCTTTGTCCTCAACAGAGGCAGCCGATGGTTGTACCGATGGTTGTCCTCAACAGAGGCAACCGATGGTTGTACCGATGGTTGTCCTCAAGAGAGGCAACCGATGGTTGTACCGATGGTTGTCCTCCAAGTGAGGCAACCGATGGCTGTCCTCGATAGACATCCGATGGTTGTCCTCCGAGTGAGGCGACCGATGGTTGTCCTCAACAGAGGCAGCCGATGCCGATAGTCGTCCTTCCGTTTTGTTCCTCAAGAAGAGGATGTACCGTTTCGTTCCTACCCTTAGACGGTTTGGCTAAACAGGTCCTAGGCTTTCCCCGGAACTCATCAGTAAGGAGGGAAGCTCGACTGGATCTGTCCAGCATCTTGTTTGTCCCACCCACCTGCCCTGACCGCCGCTGGCCTCCGTTTTTTTGGGTTTTCGTTTTGCCGTTTTTTTGGGTTTTCGTTTTGCCATTTTTTTGGATTTTGTATTTTCCAATTTTTTTGGATTTTCCAATAGAATGGCATGCAACAAATAAATACTGTACTATACTACAGCATGCAATTATGTTAGCGCCCTGGGATACACTACGTTAGCCGTGCTCCCTTCGGGCGCATATATGTACAGGTTCGCCGGACTCCCGACCCTCGAACACGCCACGTACAGTTGACCATGCGAAAAACAGGGAGTTTCCAGGTCTACTCCTACTGTTCGTAGAGACTGTCCTTGCGCTTTGTTGATCGTCATAGCAAGTGCAGGCCTGACCGGAAACTGCACTCGCCTGAACTCAAAGGGCATATCGGAGGGGACGAAAGGGATTCGTGGAACATGAACGACTTCGCCTTTGAACTTCCCCGCCAATATGGTCGCTACTATGACGTTTGGCATGAGATCCCTGATGCAAAGCCTTGTACCATTGCACATCCTCGGTGGGTTGATGTTACGAAGGAGCATGATTGGCAAACCAACCTTCAGATCAAGTCTGTGAGGTGGTATCCCATTGGGCTGGAGTGAATTCAAGAACTCAGTGGGGAAGTAAACAGCCTGTTCACGCTGAACCATGGTATCAAAGGACGTGTACGTTGATACCGGTCCAGGTAGGCTGTTTAAAATCTGAGCATTGATAGAATCCACTTGCTCATTTTTGGGTGCCAGAATTGCTCGCTCGCAAATCCAGTCCCCATTGCTGAAGTTGGTGGCAATGTTTGGGAAGACCTTTTCGATCAGTTCTCCCACCGATTGAACCATATTGCAGAAGTCTGGAGGAAAGGTAATCCAGCCAGAACTTGGTTCGACCGGAATTCTGCCTTCGCCAAGAAGCAACAGCTGTTGCGCAAAGTTTCGGGCAGTCTCATCGCCAAGGAGGTGGACTCGCATGTTCGTCGTGAGATTCAGCGATCGAACATGTCTCCAGAGAGGAGAAGCTTTGAGGCAAGCGTTCAGCTCATCTGCTGGTGTCGATCGCGGAACCACTGGCAGAGTTTGACGAAAGTCGCCTGCCAGTAACACGACGACCCCACCCATTAGCGTGTTGCTTTCTCGTATGTCCCGCAGTGTGTTGTCAAGGGCTTCTAGGCACTTCTTATGCGCCATGGTGCATTCGTCCCAAACTATGAGTTTGGCTTCCTGCAGCACCTTGGCTTTCCCTGTGCCCTTGCTTATCCCACACACTGGGTGCTCTACATGAGCAATATCCAGAGGAAGCTTGAAGGCTGAATGGGCAGTTCGGCCTCCCTCTAGCAGTGTTGAGGCAATCCCCGAGGATGCCACTGCTACTGCGATCCCTCCTTGTCTGCGAATCTCGGCAAGTAGGAGATTGATGAGAAACGTTTTCCCTGTTCCACCCGGAGCGTCGAGAAAGAGTAGCCCACCTTTGCCACTGGAAATCGTGTCCAGAACAGCACGGTAAACCAACTCTTGATCCTCCGTAAGAAGAGGTCTGTTAGACTCTACAAATGTGGTCAGCTGATCGGCATCATAGGACCTCTCTCGGAGAACATCGCTCTCGAGTGCCTGGTCATCTCCGCGTACTGGCGACGGCAAACCGAGGTCTCTGAGAGTTTGACCAGTCATCGACACGCACGTATCCTCAAGCAGTATCAACGCTCGGTTGAATATCTGGGGAGAGTAACCGACGTCTACAGAAGGTGCCTCTCTGCGACATTCCCTGAGTACGTCTTCACTCAGAGCCTCTTTGTACTTCTCCCAGAGTGCTCGAGGATTTGACGGTTGACAGACTGTCAAGATGATGCCGAAGAGACTTCGCAGTTGAGCAGCGAAACTTGTCATAGCTGCTTCTGCGAGAGTTCTGTCCCATTGCTGATCATCTTCAAGCAAGCCAAGTCTTTGGCATGCTTCTCTGTAGGTCTCACATTCCTCTCCATCGATGGTCCTCAATGCTGCGAATGACGTCGGTCCTCGGATTGTGTGAAGCAACAATCTGAGGTAGAAGCATTCGGCTTGGTTAGGGTGTACAGTATATACACGCGCTAACACATCCGCAGCACGTATGCCAGGTTGTCCGGGAACTTCGGCTCCTTGCCTCCTTCTGGCCCACTTCTTTGTTGACTTGTTCCAAGTATAATATCTTGGAACTTCTGAGTACAACAAAGTCCGTGCGAACGGATCATGTTGGCACAGAAGGAAGAATGCCGTCAAAGTTGTTTGAGGTGGTTGCGCAGCTCTTTCCTGCGCATTATCAGCCGTGAAGTAGACGCGTTGTCCATTCTCTAGATGGACATGTAGATGGGTGACAGGTGGGTAATGTTCGTGTATCCTGAAACCCAGGATACGCCAAACTGCCTCGTTGCTGCTT